TATACTTGAATAAATCTTCAGGAGAAAGGGAGGAGGTTGGAAGTTAGAACTATATAAGAACTTTTAAGGTATGGTATATATTTCTATTTAGTTCTATTCAATATTTTATAGTTGTATTTAATATATTTTTGTAAGGGTGGAGGTTGGAAGATTAATTATTAGAAATATTAGGGTGGCTCCATTTTGTTTTATGATTTTCTATGACGGCTGACTAGATTGACATCGGCATTTGGATATTGTCTAATAGATGGGATATTCCCAACGCAGTTGGGTGCTATTACCACAGACATCATCCTTTATGACAATAAGTTGACAACTTGGACTGGCAACGGTATTGCGATATATATATATATATAGTTAGATATTCGTGACCTATCGCTTTATTGGCATTGGTTGTTAAATTTGAAAATAATTACACAGTTCTTGAATGTGAATTCTATAAAAAAAAACGTAAAAATAGTCCTTCTACTTCATCATAAAGTAATATTGGTTTATTGGATCACTGGAAATTTAGAAATTGAACACATTAAGGTTGTATGACGTCAATAAACTGTGAACTGATCGCCAAGAATATGCAACTCTCAAAACTAGTGAAGAGCATTTATGCAACACAATACAATAGGTGAATATTTATACAAAGGGAATTTTGATCATTATATTTCTTCTTACAAAGGGTGATTTGTAGATTATCGAGATCCCGTTTTAAGATTGAGATTCAGTGTCGAATTCAAAATAATTTCTGACCAAGAATTTACAATAAAAAAGTACTGTAAAGACCAGTTTAAGTCTAGGTTTGTAGAAAGAATGACAGTCACCATGTTATTTCCTTGATTTAAAAGTTTTATTATGGTAATACGATTTCTACTGATATTTTTCTGCTAACCTATCCATCAAATGATCCAACTTTACATCAAATGAAGTTAGGCAATTGTAAGCTCATCGTTTAAAATTACTAATCTGTCTCGCTTGTCTGAAGTAAGATAATTAAACTCGGAATTAATCAACCTTTTTTCAAGTAATTTCATGATAATGCATTGAGCAATTATTCAACTTTCTTTTATAATCATGAGCAAACGTATGATAACGAAACCGGAAAATTCAATATTTAACTGTCCTTCTTCACTACTAGCAATCGTAATAGAATGAACATTACTCAACTATTTTTACAGCAATGAACAATTGTACGAAAATAAAACAATGGAAATAATTACACCTTCTTTTTTCTTAACCATCATGATACGAAAATGAAACCTGTAAATTATTCAACTTCATTTCTTAGCTATGAGCAACCAGAAGGTGATGACCCCGAGAAACAATCAAACTTTCCTTAATAAATAATCGTGAGCAATCGCACGAATTCGAAAAAGAGAAATCAGTCAAATTTTTTTTTCTAAGCCACGATAAGTTATATGATAATGAAATCGATAAATTAGTCAACTTTCATTCTTAAGCATGAGCAAATCATATATTAAAAAGAGATATTAATAACATGGGTAATCATATGATAAGGAAACCATGAAATTATTCATCTTCCTTTATTAATCATGGATAATTGTAGGAAAATAAAGCAGAGAAATTATTAAACATTCTTTCATCACAACCATGATTATCTATTTGAAAATAAAAGAGGATATCTACATGTATTCAACATTTCTTATCCCCGTCCCACCAAACATGCTCGCCCTTTCAGCCGTGGGGGCGTTATAAAGTGACGGTCAATCCCACTATTCGTTGGTAAAAAAGATTAGCCCAAAAGTTGGCGGTGGGTGGTGAGGACTAGCTGCCTTTCTTCTAGTCTTACACTGCTTAATTAGGGACAGCTAGCGCAGATAGCCCTCGTGCAGCTTTGCGCGAAATTCAAAAACAAACAAACAAACAATCAACATTTCTCATAACTACCAGACAGCGTATGATAACCAAACAGTGAAATTATTCAACTAACGTTATTAATCAATTGCATGCCAATACAAACGGAAAAATATTCTCTTCTTTGAAAATTATGAACACGGTAGTGAAACGAGAATTTATTCATTTTCTTAAATAACCACGAGTAACTGTTTTTTCTAAACCATAATAAATTACAACGAAATTGATAAATTATTCAACATTGTTTCCAAACCACGAACAAGCACATGATAACGAAATGGGTAATTATTTATCTCTCTTTCATAATCATAATCAATTATATAACAAAGAAAGCAGGGAATTATTTACTTTTCTTGAATAATTACGTACAACGTTCCGAAAATGAAACAAGAAAACTACTGAACAATTGTTTTTCTTATCAACCACAAATAATTGTTAGTAGAGACATCTGTAATATAAAAAGTAGTTCTGTACTTAATTAAATTAAATGAATTATGATCAGTTAAATGATAATGCAATTGTAAAATTCTTCAGTTTCACTTCGAAATCGAAAGCAATCGCACGATAATGAAACAAAGAAATTATCCAACTGTCTTTCATTATCGTGAGAAATCGTATAATAAGGAAATGGACAGTTTATCCATTTTTTTTCTTGTTAACCATGATTTTATTAGGAATCGCGTGGGCATGAAACTGGAAAATTATTCCACTATCTTTCGTAATCATGTGAAATCTTACCATGAAAAATATTCAACTGTGTTTCTTAACTATAAGCATGGTATGATATTTACAAGGAAAGCCTCTCTGGTGGTTCAACAGTAAGTCAATAGGCTTATAACACTAAATATTGGGTTTCGATATCCGAGGTGGGCAGAGCACATATATCCCATTGTATAGCTTTGTGCTTTAACACAAACACACAAAATCACAAGGAAAGATTATTCAAATTTCTTTCTTAATTATGAGTTAGTGTATGATAATGAAACCAAAAAGTTATTCAATCTCCCTACCATGAAAAATCGTGGGGTAATGAAACCTTAAAAACATTCAATCGTCTTTTTTTGTACCATGAGTAATTCTGTGATAATCAAAACAGAGTTTTTTTCACACTTTCTTTGATGAGCAATTACATGGTGATAAATCTAGAAAATTAGTCATCTGTCTTTCTTAACCGTCCCCTGGTGGGACAGCGGTAGGTCTACGTACTTACAATGCTAAAATCCGGGGTTCGATTTACAGCGGTGGACACAGGAGATAGGCCAATGTGACTTTGATCTATAACAACCAACCCAAGCCCTCTCTTAACCATAGTCAATTGAATTATAACTAATAATTAAATTAGAAAACTACTTAATTAGACCAAAATTAAAATGACCCCCCATAATAAGTATAGCTAATTAGATATATTGTTTTCGTTTATAAATATTAGCAAGCATATTATAATGATTCCGGAAATTTTTCCACTTTCTTCACCATGGACAATCGTATGATAATGATACCGTGAAATTATTCAACTGCTTTTCTGAACAAGGAACAATCATATGATAATGATACCGAAAAATTATTCAACTGCTTTTCTGAACAAGAAACAATCATATGATAATGAATGGAGGAAATAACCCAACTTTTTTCCTTAGCCATGAGGAAACTTATAATAATTAAACAGGGAGATTATTCAATATCCTGTCTTCACCATACGTAATCGCATTAATACTGGTATTGCAGAAGCCATGTAAGGAACTAAAATATTGATGCAAGATTTCAGTGATGCTTAAATGTCGCCCGAAGTGAAAGAGAATGTCGCCGTAAAGATTTGCGTCATCATTTATTTATGAACAATAAATAGAGACAAACATCAAGAGAACGCTAAAATTATATATTATTCTCTAGCTGTAGAACTCCGTTTTACAGCAACTTTCAGAAACGTCATCTGAGATTGTATGTAAGATAATTCTAAACCAGCTCATATTGGAATGTTTAGAAAACTGCCTATCTATCACTCAGTACCATTCTAAATATACAGTATTTCGGGATAGACAATTGGAAACCCTGTCATTTGGTTTTACTTAGCGAAGCGGGAATTATTTATCCCTTATATGCTAGAAGGCTTTAGACGACTGTTCATCGCTCTTGTGAATGTGGGTCATGTGTAGCCTAGGAGCTAGCATGTCCATACTTTGATTGGCGTGTCAATTTAGGGGCGTGGGTGCGTTATAAGAGTGACGGTGTAATTTCGTTATTTGGTTAAACAACAGTAGCCCAGTAGTTGGCGGTTGGTGATGTTGACTAATTAACTTCCCTCTAAATTAGCAGTTGAAAACTAGGGAAGTTATGCGCAGTTATATGTCGCTTTGCGTGAAAATTCTAAATACAATTTTCCATGTTGTATTTTGCATTTAGTTCACTAAGCTGAAATGATTTGGTTTACAATTACCTAAAATATCCAAACCACGAGTCTTCAAAAATAATCTATTTAAAGAATAACAGAACATAAAACAAAGAAGAAACGACACCAAAATGTGGGAAAACATATATATATATCCTGTATGCTCCATTGATGTGTCTTAAAGTCTCGTGAATTATATCCTGTCAACGCATTCATGCAAAAAGCCCACATATATAGACCAGAGTATAATTCATTAGGTCAGCAAATGGAACAAAATACATCCATGACAAAGTTGCTTCTGAGACAGATTTTTAACAAAACAGCTACTAGTAATCCAAACTATAAATCTTCATGCATCATGTAATACCGATATTTGGATTACGATATACATATTAAAGATATAAATATATTTTTCAATCGTAATGATTTTAATGAAATTAAAGAATATATTCCACTCTGTTTGATTGTTCGTAGTTAAGCACAAAGCTACACAATAGGCTATCTGTGCTCTGCCCACCACGGGTTTCGAAACCCGGTTTCTAACGTTGTAACTCGGCAGGCATACCTCTGTGCTACTGGAGAGCTCTCGGTTTGACATCTTCTGTTTTTTTCCTTGATTTTTGTACAAGAGTATGACATATGTTTAGGTTTATATAAAGAAACAAAAATCAGCCTGCAAGAGTTCACATAGTTTTTCGTAAAATATTTCCATTCATAGCTTATGCATAAGTGATAACCAGGTACTTACGATCTTTGTCCATGACACTGCGGGAAGGGGTCAACAGTAGTGTGATGGTTACTAGCAAGACACTAGAGATCAAGATGGCTAAAGCGGTTAGCACTACAGCGCACACAATTCGACGTCGTTGAATTTCCTTTGGAGGATTGCTGGAAACTCCGTCTAAGTCCAACTCAGTATATTTTGATTCAGTTACTGTTTCCGGACTCCATAAACTTCCGCTGCAGCTGGACGATTCCTCTTGGTAGTGTAAATATCGAGATGAAAAGCGGTCGCGACCTCCAGCACGTATCTCGGAAAGACGATGGTTCCGCTGACTGTTCCGATGAGACGACCGTCGTCGATGTTGGTGCTGATAATGTTGATGGAGCGCGCCAGCCTCTTCGCCACGGACGCTAAAGGTGCGACGCACGGGGAGTTTCTCTCGCGTTTTGTGACTTTCTTTTGCTGAGGCTACCCGACGGAGACGACGACTATCGTGATGATGTTTGATGTGAGGAACGTCTTCGTATCCGACGGAAACGTTCTGGACTTTGCTCTGTCGAGAAACTCTACAGTCGTCTTTCCCGAGGGTGCTTCGATTGATGCTGCGCCAGTGGCGACTACAAATTCTGTGGTGTCGTTGGTTGTCATCGTAGTCAAAGACACGTGGGGAACTGGGGGAGGGTGCTTCAGTGACTGCAACAGGACACTGCCCACTGTCTTGTTGTTTAATATTACTGCTCATAGCTCTTGGCCACACAGTTTGCTAGCCTCTCATGCAAGTTGTATGATCGGTACCAGTCGTTCACCAAGTCTATGACGCGGTGTTTGTTTTGATAAGACTCCCAGAGTGCTACTGCTCCGTATCTCACATGCTGAGTACGGCACATTGAACGTATATATATACTTATGCTGTTTGTTTTGTTACTCCTTTTTCTGTTCAATCTTCATATCTTTTCTGCTATAGCTGCTTGCTGTTGAGGCAGATTTTAGGAAACTCACACACACACATATCCACGCATCACGTGGTTTGACAAAGCCCAGGGAAATAATATACTTCTCAACATACATAGAAGAAAAGGTGAGGAGTCAGTCAGAGTTCACGTAAAAGTTTTTATTTCTCTTTGAATGTTTGATATGTGAAATCTAAATAACTTCCATATATGTACATGACAGATAGTTGTTTAAATACAGAACAATGTTTTTGATATTTTTAATAATACAACTATTTTTACCAATAAGACTATACTAGCGACTATTGTTATTTCTCCAAACTGTGTGGAGATATTGTTTAATCAATCTTAAGTCTGGATGCTGTTTAGAGGTCTTGAGTTGGAATTAATAAATCTACTCCGTTTTGAAAAAAGTATTGACTGTATAGTCTCAGTCGGAGGTTGCTAGAAGTGCAGTAAATAAATGTGAAGATGGTTACTTTTTAGATAAAAAAAAATGTTATTTTTATAACATTTCAAAACAGAGATCGTTTTCCTGAAATATCGAAGAATAAAATATTTTAACAAGGTGATTCTTTCCGCATATATTTTCTGTATGTCCTTAATAAATCGCAATTACTACGTCAAAATTACCATGAAAATTCGTTCACGAGGTATATCTAAAAACCATTGAATAAATTATTAAATAAAAATAACGATTTTTTGTACGCACTTTTAATGATTGCTTACTTAACTAATGGTTTGGAATACTAACTGATATTATTTTACCATAATTTTATTCCGTCACACTTACATATTTATTTTGTTCCACTTAAATCGTAATTACTAGTCTTCTCACTTCACTTAGTGCTTTCAATAGTTTTGCTTGCGGATCGTCTAGACAGTTTCTGCCAAGCACAACTTCTTTCTATTGGTTTGTTGTTTGAGAGCAGAGCTAAATTAGGCTATTTTCCGTGACCCCCCGGGGAATCGAACCCCCGGATTTTAGTGTTGTAAGTCCGTAGATTTATCGCTGTCCCACCGGGGGACTCTTTCCATTGCAAAAATATTCAAATAATCAATGCGATTTCAAAACTCTGAGCTCAGAATCAAACATTTTTAAACAGTTGTTATATATGCTTTGCTGGTGTCTGTTCATGGAATAAGCAATCTTCTGTTTTTTTGTAAACCACCTACATCTTTTAACGGTCTTCTAGAAAGAGTCTAATTTTCTCCACTTTTCCCAGCACGTTCGTTTTTGTCTAGCTCACTTGTAAGGACAGTTAAAAACACATGTAATAGCACATAATTTAAGTTATTTTAAATTGTTAAAGTTAATAATGGTGAATCGTGACGTTTTATTACAGCATCACAGATCTAAAACGAAAGAAAAAAAGCCTGTTCCGTTCACATGCAAACACAAAACAATCAATCTTTGATAGTAACAAATGTAAGATATTCTTAATTTAGGCTTAGTATATCTAGGCTATTTTACTTTTACATAGTTGAAAGCACAAAGCACATTTCTTCATCGAAATGTGCAGGTATCCTTTATCATCAAGATCATACAGTATAGTTGTTTACTATACATGAAACGTTAGTTTCCCATTACAACACCTGATGTTTCAAGTCTCTTCGTTCAAAATAAACGGGTTTGACCGTAAATGTATTCAATCAAATGAAGTTCCCTAATCTAACAACGGCAGTTTGTTCTTGCTGCTATTATTCTTAATAGGCAGACATTCAAAACTCCTAAAATAGTTTGCAAGGTATTATTCCAAGTGCACATCCTATTGATAATGATGTCAATACGTGCACTATTTTATTCCAAACAAAAATAAAGTCTAAAAAAAATTCATTCCGAAATTTTTATGTTTACTTTAGCACAAAGCTGCACAATGGCCTGTCTGCGCAATGTCCGCATACAGTCGCTCGAGCCTCGAATTCTAACTCTATAAGCCCTGAAGCTTTTCGCTTAACCATCGGGGTACAGACTTGAATAAGAGCATTTATTATTGCAGGTAAAAAGCTATCTTGATGTATATTTAGTTAATGTGTAAACTCGTCTTCATGACAATTAAAACGACAGTTTGCACAGAATTATTCATAATCAGACGTGAGAATGTTGTGTTATAAGAAAGAAAACAAATGATCGTGCATTGAATGACGAACTTTATCCACAGTATTTTGACCTAAGTTTCATTCAGATAATGCATTTTCCATGTTTTATACAAATCATCAATTTTATTACGTGTTACAGTCTCTGATGTGAATTGAAAATAATAGTTGACTTTATTAGAAATTAGAAACAGAAGTTTCAGTCATTAGGATAATGGATGAATTTTGTAATAAACAAAAGTTCGTAGTACATAAAAACCTAAATTAAGGTTTGATATAGTCAGAGGCGTAAGCATGCTCCCCGAAAGTTCAGGAATGGGGAGAGCTAAAAGAAGGCCAGAATCGTAACTACAATTATAACATTTTAAATGTATGGGGCCCAATTATTTTTTTATACGGGAAGCCCATATTTTGTACATACGCCACTAGATATAGTAGTATACGGTAATTATTATTATTTTTATAGCTTCATACAAATTCTTCCCATATAAACAAATAGTATACGATTTTTTACTTTAAAACAGCGAACATTCATCATGGTGTGATAAGCTGATAAAGCTTGCCTACAGCAGCGAACTCTTATTTTAGGGAAATTATGTTTATATGTTTCAAGGTACACATGTTCATTTGTAAAGAACTTTGAGAACAACTTTGAAGAACGTATTATAAACTTCATTGTTGAATGCTGTATTATAGTTTTCTTATATCTGAAGATGAATTGCATATTCCACTCAGTGCTCAAAAACAGAGAAAATCCAGGTACTAAAGTTGAAAACAGACTCAATCTTAATTACTAGTTCAGATAAAGTATTTACACGTGTGTGTTTCTTACGGATGTCTTACTAGTTTAACTGAACAAATGTTCGAAAATTTTGACAAGATTTGTTGTGTAGTATGGTTTGTCTTAAATTATTTAATTATTACTTCGTAATGCCATGGGTTATATAGTTAAAGTAAGACTATGTGGTAGCTGAATGCATCATGAGTGTCCGTCCTTTACAACACTGTGTGGTAGTTATCAAAATTACATAATATACGTTCTACCTTTCCAACACTATGTGGTAGTATTTAAGAATCCATTATAAATGCTCGCCCTTTCCAGGACACAAGTAAGGTATTATGTAATCAGTCCTATACATTTAAACGAATACATAATAATATTCACTGGCTCCCAACATTCGCTACTTGAGACACAGTTTTTAATGTTTATATTTATTTAATTGTGAGCACATTTTTTATAAGTATAGAGAGACTGTTTGGTAAATAAGTGTGCTTTTTAACTTATAATATTTCACAAACATAAGTACGTTTATATGCTGTTTTTTATATGGTTTAACTACAAATACAGATCACGAAAACTGAGTTTGTCGATCTATTTCATTTACAAGGTTTTTCTTGTATTTGTATATGTGATAAAACATTAAATGTATAACTTCAAGGAGAAACGCTCAATAGTGTTACATTGTAGTACACACAAAAAGATTAAGGATACTTCTTCAAATCTGTCATACTCACTTATAAAACTATAGAACTGTTAATGTACTGTTTTATAAGCACCTGTTGCTTAAGTAAAAAAATAACAAAATATGCCCTTTTTAGAATGAAAACGATATTAACGGTTAACTTTATAAAGTTTTTTTAAATATAGATTTAGAACTGCTTAAACAGCACGCATTATTAATGAAGTACCATATTCGTAACCGTCTTTCGCCATTTTGTCTGATTGCGAATATTACATTAACTTTAAAATTATCAAACCTAACGCGGAGCGAACTTCAACTTGTTTCCGTACTTTTTTGACGATCCGTATTCTAAATTAACAATTCTTACTAATCTTGTTTCTTAAGTTTTTTTATGTCCATTTATGGAGAATAAAGTTTAAGCTACATACGTGCACATTAGTTCAGTTGAATGTTTTTCAACAGTTTACTGCTGCATTGACTTTTCCCACCCAACCACCACGCCGAACTCATTCAAAATATATAACAAATGTACAACAAAGAATAAACACACGTACTGGTATGCAACTATAACAAACAAAACGTAAAATTGTTCTCAAAGGAGGCAAATATTGTATCATCACAGATTTAGTGACCGGCTTCCATCAAAGTCACAGTGTAATGTAACAAAAGACGAGCAGCAACAAAGCAATCTCATCCGAATGGAATAATGCTTCTTCTAAGATAATAGAATACAGATTAATGCAGTGTAAACAGACGCAGTAACATACTTACCTTATTACGTGACATATATATGTCCTTCAACAGCCTGCTATGCACAAGTGTTTCCTAGAATAAGGCGACACAAATAATGTATGCAAAACAGACAACAGCGATACACTTAGCCTAAGTCGCCAATTATCGACAACATTTACAACTGCTACCTGAACACAAACTATTTAAAAATAGCAATAGCTATAAGAAATAGTGTTATATACAGTGGTAATAAACACTTAATATGCACTCACGATTCCAGCTAAGTATAAGGAACAGTACAAAGAATTACCCCCGTCGTCTGAGTAGAAAAATTTACTATGGTAATTCTTCACTGTTAAAAACTTGTTGAAATGTAGTCACGGAAATCCACATAGAGACGGCAAACTCGAGCAGCGATGAACAATAACGATTCGAGTAACTATATGCAACAGCAAAATCGGGAACCTTTCACGTGACAGTTTCTAATTCATGCGCTAGAAAATGCACGAGTTGTAGTTTCCAACTAACACACATGCTAGGAAAACACCAGATTTTTTTTTTATGGCGGATAGCGAAAGACTTG